GTTTCTGAGTTGAAGGAGGTTTTCAAGGTAATCACTACCATATATTTAGTGAGAATTATTCTCAGTGCCTAATAGTTTCTGGGAATTTGTGGATGGTTTACTCATTAAATTGTTGCTTACAAGCTATCCCAACTTGTTTTTCCTACTCTAATTTCTCTTTTCACAAACTATCCCTTGTTCAGGGGGAAAAAAATGTGCATGAGGAATACTTTCCACTCATCTTGCCAACCCTGTTAAGAAACATTTCATTTGTTCTTCCAAAGAAATGTTTACCTTTCATAGATACGACTTTCATCTGAAGTCTGATATTTTAGAAGTTTTCATTTACCACTTTAGAAGCAATATTTTGTCCATGTTCATAGGTATTCACCACCATTACTTTCACTGAATTCTGTATCAAATGTGATTCTGAAACAAATCTCTGGAATACACTGATAATAAATAAATTATTTTCAAACCATTTTAGCATGCACCTATAGTACCCTGGATTTGTGTAGCTATGTGGATAATTCACTGTGGGGGAATGCTATCATAATTTACATATGAAACTAGTTTTGTTTTCTAAATAAAGTTCGATGGTGTATGCAGAAATAATATTCTCCTATCCTTAGTTTTAAAGCACTCAAGGAAGCATAAAAACCTTCTGGAATTTCATGTGTTCAAATGGGGGTTTAAACGAGTTATTTCATTTCTTAACAATTTAAGTACACTTATTATACATTTGCATGTTCTTTTATAGACTGCCAAGTTGACCTTTTATATATATATATATATATATATATATATATATATATATATATATAAAGATCTTCAAAGATAATGAATATTTTAAAATATTTTCTTGATTTATGTTATTGGCTCACCAACTATTCCCAGGGAAAATGAGATGGAATACTTCCAAATATGCCTTTCTCTCCTTCCTCCTTACACCTCTCTTTCCTGCCAAAATCTTGTTTTTACAGTTTTATTTTGATACTCATGCTCACTCTGTGTGGTCCTTTTCTAATAAGGAAATAGAAATAGAAAAACACCCCGATTTCTTTTCTCCCTTACCGTAATCCTGGCCTCTTGGGAATTTGGAGGTCAGTGATTTGCTCTCTGTCCCCCCACCCTTCCATTCTTCCCCAGATAGGAGCTTACTGGATGAAGCAAGAACAGTGATGTCTTGTGACATGGGGACTGGGCAGCGCTTGACCCAGTACTTTTCTCTAGGTGCATACACCTGCAGTTCACTGTGGCTGAATTGTTGGATCAGCCAGTCAAACAATGTGTTCTTTTTAATGAATTAATTGGGTGTTTAGCTGCAATGACAAATCACAGTCCTGCATTAAAAGGGTAAAATGGTGATTTGTATAAGGATAACCTAAATTATTTGAAGAAAAATGCAGAGCAGTGTCTTGCTCACCTTGCAACATAGAAAATACCAAAACATAATGTCATCTGACTCTGCCATTTCAGAGATAAAGTGTTAAATGGATGTCATTCCTGCTTTTGTTTTATTACCCGGATATAATGTACAAGTGAGTTTAAATGGAATACTTTCAAAATATTAGTGTTGAACTGGATTCAAATTTTGGGGAAAAAAACAATTATTTTTAAAAGGCAGATACATTGGAGACTTAACACAACAAAACCCTAGAAATTACAAGTTTAGCTTAAAACTCCGTCATTAACACATCCCTTTAGACTATAACAGAGAGAAATACATTCTCACATTGTCATAGTGCCCTTTGTTCTGCAATCCTTGAGAATGTAACAGCAAATACAGTTAAAATTCACAACAGAGCAACAGATTTCCTGAAGGAATTATTGTAGGCAGATGGAAGCAAAACAAATAGCTTAAACTTTAGATTGAAGAAATCAACCATGGGGACTTTCTTTATTTCATTTCACAATCCATCCAGAGTCAGAGGACTCCAGGTTTATAACTGAGTTATGATTTGGCTGGTAACTAAAAACAACGGATGTTCATTTAACATGTTATTTACAGGCACTAAGCACTCAGCACACATTAACTTTTTTAATCTCACAAGAATCCTATGAGATGGTGTATTGGTTGTCTAGGAACGCGGTAATAACTACCATACATTTGGAGACTTAAAACAATAGAAATGTATTCCTCCTCAGTTCTGGAGACTAGAAGTTCAAAATCTAGCACAGGTACACTAGCTCTGGAGTCTCTTAGGGAAGATCCATTCTTTGCCCCTTCCGGCTTCTGGTGGCTGTTGCATTCCTTGACTTGTGGCTATATCGCTCTAATCTCTGTCTCCATGGTCACATTGCCATCTCCTCTCTTGTGTATCTTTTATAAAGACGCTTGTCACTGAATTTGGGGCTCACTCAGATATTTGAGGATGATCTCCTCATCTCAAGACCTCTAGCTTAATTACATCTGCAAAGACCCAAAGACCCTGTTCTCAATTAAGGTAACACTCACAGGTTCCCAGTTTAGGATGTGGACATATCTTTTGGGTGTCATTCAACCCACTGCAGCACTGTCTTCATTTCACAGATGAAGAAAATGAAGAGAATTAGCTAACCTGTATTGGACTGCATGTAAGGTATGAACATTGTATGAAGTATTTTACATACACTGTACTACCTATGTAATTTTCATAATGTCCTATGAGGTAGATATGATTATTATTAGCATTTTACAGGTAAGGAATCTAGGCTTCTAGAATGTAATTTACTTAATATCACCCAGAAAAAAATTTACTCCCTTTCTGAAGGCAGGTTGCTAGACAAAAATAAATAATAATTATTTATTTAAATAATTATTATTTATTACATAAATATATGAAATATATAGTATATTACATAGTTGTAAGGATTATCAAAAAATAAAGGAAAAGGGGGTATAAAGAATACTGTGAGTGAATTACATTTTTAAATAGGTGGCCAGGGAAGGTTTCACTTAGAAGAGATTACAGATGGAAAAAAAGGAGAGAGCAGGCCATGTAGGAACCAGGTAGAAAGGCATTCTAGGTGGAGAGAACAGTAGGTGTAAAACCCTTGAGGCTTGTTCAGTAACTGCAATAAGGAAAAGTAGCATATGTCTGTATGACTATGTGTGTGTGCACAGTAGTTAGAAATACTAGCTTCTCTTTTAAACAAGTGAGGTATGAAGTACCTAAAGGAATACTTACATGTGAGTAGAGTAACATATATGCCTCTAGATCAGTCGCAAGATCTATGCAGGAGAACAAAACTTGAAAGTCATGATCAAATACAATACTCCAATCCAGTGCTCATTACTCCATACCAGGAGGAAGCAATTTAAATAAAAAGCACCTTTGTGCAGGAAGTGCCAAATTATGCCATGTTGACAATTGTATTTTTTTAAAAAATTGACTTTTAGAGTCAGTCCTGCTGTTGGCACACTCAATAAACATCACAAAATGAAACCACATTCTAATAGAAATATGAAATAAGTTTACATAGATCTAACCCTTAACATACTAAAATCATGGACTCAAGTGGGTTATGCTTATTATCAAAATGTCATTTATCTTTTGTCTTTCCAATGCAGTTGATGTGAGCATGGCACTTTAACTTCAAGTGTGATTGAGTAAGCAGGACTAATGCTGCACTAATGCTGTTAAGTAGTTCAGTGGAACCCCAGAAGGTGGACAATTGGATCTATGTAGATTAATACCCTCTCTATAACTGGAAAGGGAAGAAATTTTTTCTCTCTACCATTTTGACATCTAATAAAATCAAAACTTCTGAAGTGCAGAAATGAGAAAAGCCTTCTCAATTTACTAAGCTCATTCTTGATAGTTATAACTATCAGACTCTACCTAATATATTAAGTGACTCATAACAGATCATGGCATTTTTGTAGTCTTACTCTTCTTTCCTGCCATTCATTGAATGGAACCGTTGGTACAAAGAAATTCTTGCTGGGTTCTGTACATGTGCATGTTTCAAGAAGAATTGTGTTTATAGAAGTCCAATCATCGTTACAGAATTTCCTTACATTTTAATACATAATTTGCTTCTCTTTACTGCACGTGTAAGAGAGGAATGTGGTGGAGGAGGGGGTAAATTGCTTTGGAATGTCAGCCAAAAGGGTAGAAAAAATATAATCAGAGCTAGGGCTAACGCAAAGCAGTTGCTGAGTCTGCCTTGCTTAATGGACAAAGTCAAAATTTAAGCAGGGAAATTGAGACTGGAGCTGCCCAAAGGGAAAGCAAAAAGCCTAGTGGTGGGACAAGAGAGTGCAAAATTGTGGCACAGAGCCAAGAATTTGGATACTAGAAGAGAGCTCTGATAATCAGCAGATTAGGACTAATGAAGAGTTGTAGGAATTGGACCCCAACAATGATGTAGATGTCAGCTGTCACTTGTGGTTTGTCACTAGGGAGCATAATACTTATACTAGCCATGAAGGATTTGTTAGTAAATGTGATATTTTAATTTTTAAGAGACGTTGGGATAGTTATGATCTTTAGTGTAGATTATATGCTAGTTCTTTAAAGTTTTATTTTATGTTTGTTTTTATCGTAGAATCTTCTTTGCTCTAACTTTTTTCTTATCCAGAAATGTTCTTAGTCTCTGATTATCCCATGCATGACTGATGTTCTTTCCTGCCATTCAGATCTTACCTTAAATGTCACTTCTACCAAGCTTTCTTGACAACACAATCTAAAGAATCTGTTGAGGACTTCCTCCATAACATCCCTGATTTTCAGCATAGGATCCATCTGACATTTCTTCCTTCTTTCCATTCTTTCTTCACTTCCTGTTCTTTGTCCACTTCTAACTATTAGATTTTAAGTTCCGTGAGAGTAAGAACCTTGAACTGTCCCATTTACTATGGTGGCTTCAGCAGAGAGGGGAGTAAGTGATTCTTAATACTCCTCAATGAATGTTTTAATTAAATTATAAACAGGTGGATATTTGCTGCATTAACAATTATTTCTTAAGTGTACTTGTTTTGTTGCTGAGCTTTTTATGTTTCTTTTTTTGTTTTGTTTTGTTGCACTGTATTAAAGAGGAACCATTGAAGGATTCTGTTACCCTATCCCAGAAAGAGCAAGGGGACAACATTGATATCCTAACTACTGGCCATCCAGTACCACTTAAAGGTATCTATACTTTACGGCACAGAAAATAGGATATATTAATCATTCATTTCTTAGTAGTAAAAGACTGCATGAAAGCCACTTGTAATTCTTCTTATTTATTCTAAACCAGAGGTCTCCAAACCCCTGGCTGTCTACCAGTACCAGTCTGTGGCCTGCTAGGAACCAGGCTGCACAGCAGGTGAACAGTGGGCAAGTGAACATTACCACTCTTCTGTCAGGTCAGCGACAAATTGGATTTTTATAGAAGCGTAAGCCCTACTGTGAGCTGTGAACGTGAATAATCTAGGTTGCATTCTCTTTATGAGAATCTAATGCCTGATGATCTAAGGTGAAACATCCCAAAACCATTGCTCAACCCACTCCGTCCATGGAAAAATTTTCTTCCAAAGAACCAGTCCCTGGTGCCAAAAAAAATGAGGACTGCTGTTCTAACCACTAGCATTACATGCTTCTAAAATTTTCCCAGAAAAGGGAAAGTGTTCAATAAATAGTATTATCAAAGCACCTACTTTGGCTGGGTGCAGTGGCTCATGCCTCTAATCCGAGCATTCTGGGAGGCTGAGGTGGGTGGCTCACAAAGTCAGGAACTCAAGACCAGCCTGACCAACATGGGGAAACCTTTTCACTGCTAAAAACACAAAAATTAGCAGGGCGTGATGGTATGCACCTGTAGTCCCAGCTATTCAGGAGGCTGAGGCAGGAGAATCACTTGAACTGGGGAGGCGGAGGTTACAGTGAGCCAAGGTCATGCCTTGCACTCCAGCCTGGGCAGTAGAGCAGACTCCATCAAAAAAAATCTCTTTCATCATGATCTTATATTTAAGTGGTTGATAGGAGGATTAACAAAGAAAGAAAGGTTAGTTAGGACTAAATATTAATTTTGTTTCTAAGTAAAAATAATAAAAATCCTAAATAGAAATATTATGTGTCCCTGACCATTAAAGAGTAAATCCTAAGGTAAAAAATTATTAACATCTTTCACAGCCTCTTCTTTACCTGTTTTTCATTAGAATCACATGGGGGCCCTTTTAAATAATACAGGTACTATATTCCATGCTCAAAGATTGTGATTCCACTAGTATGGGTAGAACCAGAGCATTTATAGATAGCCTTAAGTTCCTAACACAGATACATTTTAGTAAAGATAATTAGAGTATTGTTTATAATGGAGAAAGATTGAAAGTGATTTAAATATCCTTAAAGTGTTGTTGTCACAGCAGATTTAATAAGATGGGAAAATATTGACAGTACATTATAGTATGAAAAGCTTAAGTTTACATAAAAGAACAGAAAGCAAATGGTCCTGCTTAAAATAGATGTATTATTTTTAAAGTTTCAATGATATGTTCTTTCTTTGTCACTAAAAAATAAAATTAATTAAATTAGGCATTTCTGTGATTCCTAATTGGTGTTCCTTTTTAAAATTTTGAAAAATTTCTTTATTGGTGTAGTAATTGTACATCTTTATCGGGTACATAGCGATGTTATGGTACAGATAATGTACAGTGACCAGGTCAGAGTAATTAGTGTATCCACCATCTCAAACATTTGTCTTTCTCTGTGTTGGGAACATTCAATAATTGGTTTTACTTTTCAGAATGTGAGCTGTACTATTTAAAGAACAAATGAAAAAGAAGCCAGCTGCAGTGGCACACACCTTTAGGGGGTTGAGGCAGGGGGGTCACTTGAGCTCAGGAGTTCAGGACTGTAGTATGTAATGATCTTGCCTGTGACTTGCCACGGCACTACAGCCTGGGTTGCAGAAGGAGATCTTGTCTCAAAAACAAACAAACAAAAGAGATAGAGATGTGTTTAGCACCATGCCGCTGTCTCTGATTTCTACCGGAGGATGCTGAATTTGATCTTACCCCAACTCCTTGAGGTGCAGAATTCTCAGACCTGTCAATAGGAGGTGGACAAACAGATCTTTGTCATAATTATCTTAGACTTTGGGGTACAAAAATCTTTAAGTTCAGGGCCTAAAATGCTACTAAAAATGGAATAAATGATAACCTAGACCGTGGGCACCTCAGTAAAAGAATAAGACTTAAATTTGTCAAAGAAAAAAATAGTATCCTTTTTTCCATATTTAAAAGGGTTGAAGGAGAAAAAAACTTTTTTTATCTCTTCGTGGGCCTGGGTCTGTCTCGCAGGAAAGGAAGTCTTGATATTGCTTGTTAATAATCCCTGTCATCACTGTGCTTTTAGAGAAAAGAAAAACATTACACCTGGAGGTTTAGAGATTACCAGCTCTGGTTGGCCATGCTTTAAATGTGAAGTAGATCAGACCACCCAAAGGTCCTGCTGCCAGCAACAGAGCAAAACAGTTTCTGCCCAGTCCACCTCCAGCCTTGCCCTGCCTGCCTGACAAAGTTCAGAGTGATTGTCTCCCAAACAAGTCTCCCAAACAAGAGAGGTAAGGTCAGAACAATGAGAAGGAAAAGAACCTGTAAAACACAGGACAAACACTTAAGTTATTTGAGCTGAGGAGACCTATAGTGAGAAGACTCTGCATGCCAACTTTTGTGTTCTCCAGGATCAGACAAACATAGATGATATGGACTGGCTAGTCCTACTGAGGTAGGAGGCAGGACTCGACTCCAGAGGTGGGGCCAGATACCAGACTAGATTGAGGACTCTCTAAAACAAGGACAAGGTGGAAGCAACTTTCTGTAAGACATGCCCACCAAACTACCATGTCAGTTTACCTTGTCATGGCAACACCTAGACGTTACTATCCCTTTCCAGGGCAATAGCTTGATAACCCAGAAGTTACTGTTCTTTTCCTAGAAATCTCTGCACAATCTCCCCTTAATTTACATGCAATTTAAAGTGGTTGTAAATATGACTGCAGAACTGCCTCTGAGCTGCTACGCAGCACACTATGGAGCCCTGGTCTGCAGGAGCAGTCATGGAGTTGTTACACTGTTGACTCAATAAAGCTGTTTTCTTTTACCACCAGCTCAATGTTAAATTCTTTCCTGAGCAAAGCCAAGAACCCTCCCAACCTAAGCCCCAATTTGAGAGTTGCCCGCCCTGCATCACTAACTTACTAATGTATTAAGATTTTTAGGAATCCAGAAAGAAAGAAAGAAAGAAAGAAAGAAAGAAAGAAAGAAAGAAAGAAAGAAAGAAAGAAAGAAACTTATCTAAAATGCACAGAATGGATGATGTCAAAGTTGAACTTCCATTATCTCAGTTAACATATAGTGGGAACTCAGGATTTCAGTGTAATTGTGCCATAAAAATTGATGGAAAGAAAATACATGCAAAGGATGAATAAGGAGGGCAAAAATGTTTAAGTCTTTCATTAAAAGGAGAAATAGGAACACTTTTACACTGTTGGTAGGAGTGTAACTTAGTACAACCATTGTGGAAGACAGTGTGGCAATTCCTCAAGGACTTAGAAATAGAAATTCCATTTGACTCAGCAATCCAATTACTTGGTATATACTCAAAGAATTATAAATTATTCTACTTTAAAGACACATGCAAACATATGTTCACTGTGGCACTGTTTACAATTGCAAAGACCTGGAACCAAACCAAATGTTCATCAATGATAGACTGGATAAGGAAGATGTGGCACATATACACCATGGAATACTATGCAGTCATAAAAAATGATGAGTTCATGTCCTTCATAGGGACATGGATGAATCTGGAAGCCATCATTCTTAGCAAACTGACACAAGAACAGAAAAGCAAACACCACATGTTATCACACATAGGTGGGTGTTGAACAATTAGAACATGTGGACACAGGGAGGGGAGCATCACATACTGTGGTCAGTTGGGGGGGCTAGGGGAGGGACAGCATGGATGTGGGGAGGATGTGAAGGGATAACGAGGGGGAGAAATGCCAGATAGAGGAGATGGGGAGATGAAGGCAGCAAACCACCTTGCCATGTATGTACCTATGCAACAATCCTGCATGATTTGCACATGTACACCAGAACCTACAGTACAATTAAAAAAAAAAAAACACACTCAACACAGTGAAAGCGTTCAGTACTGTGCATTAGGGTGGTGTATTTTGGGGGAGTTTAGACCTTAGAAGAATAGGAATACATATGAAATAATCAACAAGAGTTTTTCACTTCTGCATTTACCTTGGAGAATTTCTATTCAGTAATAAATCAGGTTATTCATTGTACTTTGTTTTATTTATTTTCAACTTGTCAAAATTAACAAAGGCTGAGGCTATGGTTGCAAATTTATTTTCCCAATAAGTAATATTGTTCATAATACCACTGTCCTATAAGGAAAGGAACAAGGAAGTGACATGTTCACTTTAACATTTTAATTAATAGTTTTAAAAAGAATAACAGAAAGAAACAAGTGGCTGAAGTCTAAATACTATATGGTGAAGACAGCTAATTGGTAAGAAAGTAATTTTTATTTCCAGTTTTGAATGGGTAATAAGAACAACTGAGAGGTAGGAAAAATAATATCATATGATAGGTGGTAGCAGTTTCCTCTGAAGTAATCATGCATTCAAGTATAAAGTTGTACATAGCTTGGAGAAGTGTGCTGCTTCTCAGATACTCAATTGGTTCAAGGCAAACAAGCTAGTATAAAGTTGTTAAGTACAAAGATGGCATTTTCTTCTCCCATCAAATTAAAGAGGGTTGTAAAGTTTTTGTGTGTGACACGAACAGTGGTATCTTTACCTACTGTCAGCTTGGATCACTGTGATAGGACTTGCTGGTAAATATCACTTGCATCATGGATTTAAGGAAGTATCACCTCTTTTTCATTTGTCTGGAAGATAATAATCAGCAGACGAGTGTCTCCTGATACTCATAGGAGGGAGCAAAACAGGAGATCAAATGCTTCTTACTCTCTACAAATAACTGTCTGCAAATGCATGGGTCTGTCAGGATTCCAGAAGATAGTGAACATTTCTCAGCTGGTAAAGCGCTGCCTCTTTGACTCTGATGCCTGCATCTTATCATAGTGTGCAAATTATTTAGCAACTGCCACATTATTTATAGGTATGAATTGAACAAATTAATCTCATAAATAATTCATTTGGGGTCTGTGAATTAGCAGGGCACAGCAATAGAATAAAAATCTACTTTTACAAAGCTGATATCAATTGTCATTGTGAGTTAGATTCAATCTTTTTTCAAACAATACTTTTAGCATACTGCATGGGGCCTTTTAAGGTTTAGAACCAAGACTGCACAGAGTGAGGTGAATACAAGTATCTAGACAACTTGTTGGAGTGCTCTAAAAATAATAAAAGGAATATAAGTGGGGAATTCTGGTGTGAATTATCCAGATAATTGCTGTACTTTTTCAATTCACTTTGAGTGTACAGCTTTTTAAAAAAAGTATCTTTTTTCTTAATGAGAGTTCTGAAATATACAGACTCATAAGATGAAATAGTTTGATAGGAAAGAAAGTAGGTCTTGTCCTAACAGAGCAGCAGGCTGTCAAACTATTTCATCCATCAAAAAACCGAGAATCAGACTTAGATACCCCAAAATTCATTTTTAAAACTGGAAACAGAAGTAAAAATTTTACTTCCCTACAGTGAGACATAAGAATGTCACTGTGGACCTGAGAGAAAGACAGTCGCAAGTTTGTTTGCTAGTAGACTCCTAGGGAGCTGAACACAAAAATCCAATAAATAATTAGCTCTCCTGTGACAGGCTTCTGAATTACTGTGATACATTAATTGGACAAAATTAGCATGAATTAAGGCAAATAACTATAACATGTAATTTATTACTTACTAAGCATGGTGCTGCAGTGGAAGCTTCGGATTTCCCTTAAGATTGCTTTAACAGCTATAATGCATTCCTTAATTTACTCTGTGGAAAATCAATTTTTTCAGAGTTCATTAAGCACCAATATGTTACAATGCAACTCTCTAGAGCATAGAGCCTCAATACATTATGCAAATCCATGCCAGTGTGGTACCAATATGTAAATAGCAGTAATGTTATTGTCAGTTTCCTATTGATAAGTCTGACCAGAATGAGAATACCTAGAACTTGAATCTATTCACCTATTTTGTGTGGGTTGGGGCTGTTGCATACTGTTTTTTGCTAAATATAATGCCAATATTTCTTGCAAGGTATAGCAAGGCTTTCATCAATGACTGGAAGCAGTGTCATTTCCATTTAATTCCATGCCCTGTTGTCTGTGCTAACCAACCAATCAACAAGTGTTTATTAAGTATATATGATGGGTGCAGTGGAGTCCCTTCTGAATTTTAACTGATATACTAGGTGTTGTTTACATAATTTGAGCCAGAGAAATAATTTAGGTCATCAAAGCTGCAATTTCATGGATATACATCTCAATTCTCCATTTCACTTGGCATCAATCGACCTAGGTCATATTAACAAAAAATTAACATGTGGTTCAAGTGAAAATAATTTTTTAAAAAGTAGTATGTTCAAGAAAAGTATAATTGAAGCAATTTGTCTTTAAGATTTGGTAGAAAATATAAAAAATTAATATCCACAATATCTGATTTTTCAAAAGCTGATTATTTTGTTTTTCTAATCAATAGCAATTCTGTAATCCTTTATGATTTTGTTGATGTTTCTTTTAGAATGTAATTGATTTTCCACTGTTTATTTTTTTCTCTCAGTTATTTATAGCATTAAAAAATCGGTTAACTCTCAATGTCCAGAAATAACAGAATGTTATGGACCGAATTGTATCTCCCCAGATTCTTATGTTGAAGCTTTAATCCCCAGTGTGAGTGTATTTGGGATAAGGTCTTTGGGAGGTAATTAGGTTTAGATGAGAACATGAGGGTGAGGACATCATGATGGAATTAGTGCTTTTATTAGAAGAGACACCAGAAACATGCTCACGCACACTCTCTCCACCATGTGAAAACACTTATCTTGAAGTCAGGAAGTGAACCTTTGCCAGAACCCAACCATGCAGCCACCCTGATCTCAAACTTCCAGCCTCCAGAACTGTGAGGAAAACATTTGTGTTGTTTAAGCCATCCACTTTATGGTATTTTGTTAAGGCAGACTAAGCTTGCTAAGACATTGGGTGACAGTTGGAATAATGTAATTGTGTCCAATTTGGTTGGTTGAATACAAAAATTATGTTGATTTATAAAATATCAGGTAGAGTATGATTCATTTTTCTTTGGTTCCAAAATACTACATGTATCTGTACCTTTATGGAGGTTGGAGGATATATATCTAGAAGTTGTCTGCAATTAATACTTTCATCTCCTATAATGAACCTTCATTGAAATAACAGCTGAATATTATTTAAACGAAAAGGCATTATATAGGACCATATGGAATGCTTTTTCCCTACTGATTCTATTTCTTCTTTCTTCCCTGCTTACTAGGTTCTAGCCACAGTCTCCTCTTTGGTCTTTCCTGGTATGTGGCATGCAAGCTCACAGTTTGCGGACTTTGCACTTGCTGCTCTCTCCGCCTGGAGATTTGATTCCAGATAGACTCCTGCCAACTCCTTCACCTTGTCCAGGTTACCTTCATTAAATGTCACCTTAAATGTGTGCCTATCCTTTCTCCTACCTAGAATTGCAAGCACCTCTCACCACTGTACTCTCATTCTCTTTAACTTGAGCCACTTTTATTCTCATAACAGAGCCACATATTTTTTCTGATTATAACATAACCATACTATACAATTTATGTGTTATTTCTGTTTGTTTATTTATTGTATGTTTCTGTTCACAAGGATGTAACTTCCATGAATACAGAGATCTTTGATTTTTTTATTCACTGACCTATACCAAATATTCAGAACAATACCTGGCACATAGTAGATGTTTGATAAATAATTTTTTTCTGAATGAATAAATACATTTTAGCCAAATATGTTTGTTTGGTTGTACTTATGTGTATGTGCAAGTATGTGCACAAAAAGAAAGAAATTGGTTAACACTAAATCTACAAAATGTGAAAATTAATGCTTACCTTATAGTGTTGTTATAAAACTCAACTAATATATATGAAATGTTTAGCATGAGATGTGCAGCATAGTATGCATTCAATAAATGGCATTTTATTTTATTTACCATCTGGTAGCCTATTGTTGAAGGTATGTTCTTCAACGTATAAATTAAGATGTTTTATTTCTTCCTTACATCAATTATAGTCTATTTGGTTCCTTCTAGATAAAACCCTTTGATGGACATTTAAGCTGTGCCAACTTTTTACTAATAGAAATATTTACATTCTGTTATTCAGTTATTTTTTCATATGTTTGCGTGTTCTTTTCCTTTATAGCACTTAATTTAAAATTATACATTTATTAAACTGTGAATATTTTTTAATGCTTGTTTTCATACTACACTATAATTTCAGTGAAGGCAGGTACTCAGGTGACTTAGTCACCTTTTATATTTGGAACCTGGCGCAGTGTGCTTGTCACATAGTAGATAATATATATGAAATGAAAGAAACACCAAAGAAATGAAAATGAATAGAAATGATAAAGCAAAAATGAAGGGAAGCCATCAAGAAATTTGAAAATGGAAAAAATTGCTGAAAATTGTTTTTATGGAATGACAATGTGATCAATTCCTCTCTCTCTCTCTCTCTCTGTCTATACACATATACACACACATCAAATAGTTTGATGTATATGTATATATGTAATACATACATGATGTACATATATTTTTTATGTATAGCAAATAGTTTTTCCACTAAAGAGTGGGCTTTCTGGTTTTTAGCCAAACGACTTTAGCTCAATTTGTGTGACATAAAAAGACTCAAACTCAATATAGTTGATTGGAGTGCTATCAGTATTTTCCATACTGTAAATCACTACCTGACTCAGTTATACTGATGGTGATTAGCTTCTTAATTATACAGAAATTGGTCATAATAATAGGCACAAAAAATTAACATTTATAGGCACCAAAAGTTATTTTTCTGTGGGGAAAATACCCTGGATTTTTCCATATTTTCTTCATTAAACAAGTCCTTTTGTCAGTTTTGGTAAATGAGCATGACAGTGAGCATGGGTAAGATGTTCTATACTTTTTCTAATGAAAAATTGGGCTGAGGATTGCAATACTGCTGTTTCTCAGCTGAACAGGGTTCGTTAGTGTATGCCACAATTTTATCTAGAAATGAGAGTTTGGGAATGAGAAATTTTGATGCTTCAGCATTTATATGATTTTTATTTTATTGGTTTTTAAAATGGAAATACAATGCAAATTATATGGAGAGTAAAACTGATGAGAATTAGATGAAAAAAATTGACTCATAATTCAAAAAATTGGAAATGGGGGGAAAGAGTCCAATAAACTACTAAAGTAAATGTTAAAAAAAATTGCTTCTAAATTCTACATGATTTAATTGTCACGAAGAAATCAGTAGAATGTTATTTCCATGCCTAGGAGACATCATGTTTTCATCACTGAATTCTTAGCACCTAGAACAGAATGAAAAAGGAGTCAGTCAGGAAGTTGGCTAGAGAACTAGTCTTTCGAGTATGTCAAAACATTATCGAGGCATCAAGTGTCTCTGGAAACATAACAAGATGGTGAAAATGGTGTTTCCTTATTTTCTCTCAGGAAGAATATTCTATGAAGCAGAGAGAAATATTTTGTTTTAGCCTAGAGGGTGTAATAAAATATGGAGGCTTCTCAGGTGGTGGGTGTAGTTCTCCGAGGGGCTTTGGTTTTGTTGAATACTGTTTGGATTTATAAGACCAAGCCAATTAACCTGGACTATGAGGAGATACTAAGCTCTGTATTAGTCTAACTACCCAGAGCAGTGGGCCCTTTCCCCTTTTCATCATGAAATTCTTAGCCTCTATCCTAAATGCATTGAAAATAAATATTTAGAGAGTATCACTTTTAAAGGATACCCTAGTGATCACACCTTGCTCTAAGATCCTGCTGTTTTCATAGTTCTTTAGTCCCTATAACACATAAACATTGTTAAATTCTTTTCTGTATAGTACCATCACACTGGAAAGACTGCAAAAGAGTTCAAGCCTCTGGGGAAAAAATCAGATGTAAAAGAGGTTGGGGGGAAATACATTTGTTTGTGAAAGGTTTGATTCTATGACTTCATGGCTTCAGATGGACACAGATTGTGTGGGGGAATTCTGACACCTCCAGAATGCTTAGAACACAGCTAATTAAATTTTGACAAGTGTCTATAAATATGTATTTTACAAGTAGATTTTGTGAATGGTTTTGATAAACACACATGACAGTAAAGTTGACAAACCATGACTCAAAAAGTATTTATGGGTCACAGTGTTATGATATATTGTTTCAGATTTCTGATTAATATGGGGTAGCTAGAAATGAATTTACATGATAAAATAGAGCATTTACTGCCTATAAAGGATATGAAATGGTAACCCAATTTGTACCACAGAAGTTTATATGACTTTTATTACAGGTACTTGGGTTGTTTGTATCTGCTTGATAGTTATTTCTTAGGGTTTTTGTAATACTCATTTTAAACATCAATACTGCGAGATTAGATTAAAATCTAAGTATCTGGTAAATAACATATATTGTGAAAGATTACATTGTGAATGAGAACATTTTCTAACAGTGAAATAGCTATGAAATCTTTTTATGATCTGTCATCCAAATAGTACTATCAGAATGAGAGCTTTTAAAGATGTCTAACTTCTCAAACACTTTCCCAGTAATTTCATCTTTTACATTATGTAACTATGTGTTCTAAAATTGCTTTGAATAATAGAATCTCTTGGTCTGAGGTTAATAACCACATATACTATTTGTTTACTTATGTGTTTAATAATAATGTCATATTTTCATAGCAATTTTAATGTGTTTTCACATCCATTATGACATTCTGAGCTTACAATAGCCGTACAAATAAATCATTTTTTAGTTGGGACCACTTGACATAGGCCTTTTTTAGGTAAACGTTGAGTCAAAAGTCTGGGTTCAAATCTAGTCTTTGCTTTCTGCCTATACATGAGAATTATGAGAGTAGCTAACATTTAATAAGCATATACAATTGTCAACTATTATGCTTTACATGCTTTATTTAACGATCCTTGGCATGGGTACCTTTATAATTTCTTTTTTATAGGTTATAACATTGAGGCTAAAGGAGATTAAGTAATTTGCCCAAGGTTACACAGCTTGTAAATGACAGGGCTGGAAATAGAACCCTTGTCTTTTTGAACCCAAAGCCTAACTTTAATTGCAATACTAGACTGCACCTCCTTAAACCATGGTCACAAGGGACACAGCTTCCACAGAAGAATGCTTTGCTGTCGGTGATTCTGCCTACCTGAAATGTAAATTGTGCACTTTATGAAGCCACATTGGGAGCTTAACATGAAGTTTCTTTTTTATAGCCATCATTTACCTTCGCACGAAGATTTGCCATAGGATTTGTCACTATTGCCATTCTAACACTTCCCAATCAAATAGAAAACAAAAGTCCTAAAAAGAGAATGTTGATCAAATCACTTTTCAGTTTCTCAGTCTTGATGTTACTGTTTTTTATTTTTATTTTTTTATTTTTTTCCTTCTGGAGGTTGTATTTTGTTCTAGTGAGAAAAGTCAGATTCAGAAGCATTTTCTCAAAGTGTGATGAGACAGAGGAGTTCTGGAGTTAATCAAGTAGGGCAGCTCAAGGAAGCATAGCATGAGGGAAACATTCAAAGAGGTTGAGTGAAGAGCCATGAAGGGCCATGAAGACAGAGCCAACTGTCAATCTGAATGGAAAACAATAAAAAATACCAAGACTGGAGGAAGGCTGTGGAATAAAGGCTTGGATGAGCAATTAGATCTAAGATAGTAGATGACACCAGCACATACATTTGTATTCATAGGAGAAAACCCCTGAGTTTATGGTACTTAGTATTTTATAATGATAGGTATGCCAGCCTTTGCTTTGAAGGAAGACATTATTTTGACTTTGCAGGACAATAGTATTCCTGGAGGGAGATATCTCTATCTTCCTAGGCTGTTTGCTAAACAAACATCTTTCAAAGAACTAAGGCAACAAGTGCCTTATTTCCAGGATAAGCAGATGCTTGTGAGACTGATAAAGATTTGTATTCCATTAATATCCACACCTTCTTTCTATACTGTCTTGACATCTGGCAAGTTTTCCCAAGGGAATACACTCCATTGTCAACTCTAGTTGTGTCACTGATCACTTCAGCTAAACTCAAGGACAAGTTATATACTACCTTTTCTAAGTGGATAACTTCCATCTAGGGATAACAGCCCACGGGATGTAAAACAGTCATTGCTCCTGGAAGCATCCCTAGCTTTAAAGAGATTCCTACAGTTATCTGAGGTTTTCTTGATCCACTGGTGGTATTTCCTTAAACACTTGAAGGTTTCTTATGAATACCTCTAATGTATATGTCACTGTGTTTTCAGGAGGGAAATAAGTTCATGACTGACTTTTATATAAGAAGTCCATTCCTGAAGGTATCACAGTGCCCTGGAGATAATGCTATTTACAATTATTGGGGCTCTCGAGTGGTACCTACACCAGTTGGAGGGTACAGGTTGACAAAGCCTTCAGGCCAGCTGGTCAGTATTAGTTGTCCCAACTTAGTTCAAACGGTTTGGACTAGTCTTTGTGTTTGGAGAGGGGTCCAGTCTAATCTGTTCTGTTTGTCCTTGTCACCTGACTGGTGACATTTTCTGCTCCATGAAATGATTAAGCCTTGACAAATGGTAAATGGCAAACTGATAATTGAGGGTGTTGAAAGATTATTTGTATGTGAGGTGCAGAAGCTAGAACCCTTTATACTCTTTCTGATGAACTTTTCTGTAAGTTTGAGGGAGTAATGTTCAAAACATGGTAAGAGCAGTCTAGTAGGAATGGCAGACCCAGAAAGTCAGTTTAATTGAAGGCTCTTGCAACAGTTTGGGAGATATGCATCAGGGTGTTTTCATTTAAGAGGATGCCTCCAGAGTGGCTCTGACAAACAGCTTGTCTCAATGTCTCTATCTTTCCCCTAAGATTTTTATTTATTGCTAAGATTGTTGTTCTTCCTTCACTGCCACGAAATCAGCATTTCCCATTCACATAGCAATTATGCCATTTATTTTCAGTATTCTTCTATTTCCATCCAGATCCTTCATTTGGGAGTATCAAATACTATACAATAGTACATTTTTATAAAACGCACAGAGACACATTATGCTGCCTACTTTTGCCCAGGTGGGCTACTATAGCAGATTTGGCTAAGAGCAAGCTTATGCA